GAAGAAAGAGTTTTGTTTTCTCACAGGAGAGTTACAACTGATGCTTTATAGTCCAAGTTGTTGGAAATTACTGTCTTGGTAGAAAAGAGCCATTTAATTAACACTTTCAAAATATGTGCTCCTGTACACGTCCTGCTACCTGCCTGTCCCAGTATCTTTTGAATGTCATGCTGAGAGGAGGTGGCGGGGGGCAAATTTACCAGGCAGTCGTGTCAAATCATGGTCCACAGCAGCATTTATACTGTATGATATTTTCCAGAAGCACATCATAGTTCTAATAGTGTCTTCTGTTTCGGGATTGTAGATATAAATGAATGTGAAAGCAGCCCTTGTGTCAGTGGTGCCTGCAGGAACAATCTTGGATCTTTCAATTGTGAATGTTCACCTGGCAGCAAGCTGGACTCTACAGGACTGATATGTATTGGTGGGTATTATTTCCTCCTGTTATTTTCCCTTTCTCTTACTAACTTGAAAAACATTGATCATATTGATTAATTAAGGAAGAAAATACTGTATTTGTGTAATTTCCCCATGATAGCAGGCAGTATGTCTAGTTCTATAGGTAAGGCCAAACAAACACATACTAATTGATTGCTTCCATGGGAGCAGGAACAAACTGAGAGAAACATAGTTCATGAGGATGTCCAAACTACGGTGAAAGTAGTGAAATGCAGGTATCGATTGTTGGGAGAGAGTGCGAGTGTCTTATTATTAATAGGAATTATCTTGTCATTTGGGAGAATGAGAATATGAGTAAAGCTATAGGTGATTAGTCTGGTAGATGAGAAACTGTAAAGCAGACATGCCCACTCAGTTCTTTGGCCACTTTCAAATCTGAGACAAGAAAGCAGGTAAAACTGCAGGAACATCTACTCAAATAGTGATAGGAAAGCACATGGCTTCTAGGGTTCAGGGCATTCTTGATAAACTGAAGGCTGACTTTCCTAGCTGTAAGGAAATATTAATGGCTTTTGCATTATAGCACAATCTCATACTTTACGTCTTTTGTAGGAAGCTGGTAAAGTTGAGTAAGACAGATCTGAGTTTGTCAGGATCCCTGCCGCTGGAGCAGACACATGAGTATTGTCTGGGTTTTATATATATACACACACAAAATATAAATATATAAAAAAATAAATAATGTTACCATCCTTTCAGGATTCTGTGGCACTGAAAAAAAGTAGAGCACTGCACAGATTTTATTGGAGCTAGCAGCAACAGTTGTCTGCAAGATGTCATTGGCATTTTCTTTGGAAGCCATTCATTAATGTTTTTTTTCTTGCCTTTCCAAGAAAACTCAAAGGATTGGAAACATCTGTACTTCTCAGGTGATCACAAGCTGCCATTGTTCCATCTTATTTGTGTAACATAATTGAAGTCATTGTAGGATATGTGGAATAAATTGGATCGGAGTGTCATTAATAACTGGATGATGCTAATTTTAAATGTTCCTTTTATTTTAAGGTGGATTTGTCTGGTGTTCTTGGTTCAACGTTCTTGCCTTGCCACGATTTTCTTAAGATAGGAAATTGAATGCAAAGACTCAAGTTGCCATTTAATGATGGAGTCTGTCTATGCCTTAATACGTTTTTTAAGTGAATGTTACTTTTGTGCTTAAGCCTCCTCTTGGATTTCCTTGTAGTGTCACTGGCCAGTAAAGTTTAGTATTGTTTTTTTCTTTCTTACATTGTGCTTATTTCTTGATGTAACCACACCAACCTATGCTTTTTTGTACTGCTTATTTTTAATCTTGTGGTGTTCTCACACCCAAAGGTGCTACACGTTCACTAAGGACCTAATTATGAGAGTGTTCTGGATTTACTTTGCGAATGGTTTCCGTTGGAGCGTTTACAATGTGAGGTCCCATTTGGCCTGAATATTAGTGATAAGTAACATAAAATGTAAACAAAAAAATACCTGGGCAGTCAGATAAAAAGTGAAGAATAGGAACCACCTATATACCGTGAGCCTAATCATTAATTTTTCGCATTGACTAAAATTGTTTCAGGAAGAGTTTTCTGCACTACAGATGAGAATATGTTAGGACAGAAGGGTCGTAAGTGCAGCTAATGCAAGATATACAGCTTTATACTGTTAGAGCCCAGTTGTATGTTCTTCTACCTTGGCAAAATTTCAATTGGAATTGGTAGTGATGAGAGGAGGGCAGACTGGGTTATTGAAAAGTGAGTAAGGGGTTGGTTGGAAGTTACAGGTAGTTTACCGTGTGAAAAACTTGCAAACGCTCTTATCGAATGTATGCCTTTATAGATCTCTACAGTAGAGCAAGTTGGTTTTTCCCATTACCACTGTAGTGAAAGACTTGTATATTGAATGTATTTGCTGTAATTTTTTAGCGGATTGCTCCTGTAAAGCATTCTTGTAGCATCAGATATGAAAAGCATATGCTAAAACATAAATGTATGACTAAAATAGTGTTGTGGTTTGGGAATGTGTTGTATTCTTCATAAGAATGATCAAAGTAAGGTAATGTCAGATTCTGACCCCTCTCTAGTTTTTCTTTAATTTCAAATTTGCTGTCATGTCAGAACCAGAATCAGTCCTACATTGTAAGAGTAGTTTTTCTTTCTTTCATGATGATGATTAAAGTTATTGAACTTAAAAATGGCACAAAATTTTTAAGTAAAAGCACATGACAACAATATTAGAATAAGAAAGGATTAACATAACATCACTGTTAATCTTATTTTTACAATTTATTGTTCCAATGTGTTTGTCGCTACTTGATCTTATTGCTGATTTTCACTGTCTTGTGGACTCAGGTCATGTATGGCACGTTAGACTGATCTTATACGGAGAAGCTATATGGCTGATGCATGTTCTTTACTCAGTTTGTGGACAGAAGACTTCAGTCTGTCAGTTCCTCTGGTTCCTTTGCTCAGTCTGCTCAGCCTCAAGGCTGAAGAACCAGGTGGCTTGAGCCATCTGCATCCATATCACCTGTAGAAATTGAGCATAGATATGAGCCATTTGTCTCTTTCTGTGAGCTTTCCTGGGTAGAGAAAAAATGACTTGCTCAAATTACAGTCAAATTTCAAGTCACAACATTTGCGCTCAAATCTAAGCTCAAACCTCCAGGTTGTTAGTTCAGCAGTTACAAGAAAAGCATTCAGCACACTGACAGTGGTAGAAGTGTTGCATTGCTAGGTACACAAGGTGGGAGGGAACATATGTTTTAGTAAAGATTTGTGGAATTCATACAGTGCACAATAAGTAGGCTGCCATCTGCCTGTAATATGCATATATTATTCTTCAAGACAGAATCAAAGAAATGCAAGCAACAGAAAGAATGCTTTGATGCAGGATAATAACTTTTTCACCAAAGCAAAAGTCACAGTGACTGCCCATTGTAGATTTCGTCTGGACAAGAGAGATTATGTAAAATAAAGGAAATTAACTCATAGTCTGAAAAAGATAAGACAAACAGGCTTTGGCAGGATAATGTAGATGCAGCTGGTGTGAGGAAAGCCACCTGCTAATTTGTATAGTTTAAATCATTTTTGAGATATTAGTGTGATTTTCCCATCCTGTAAAGTTGGCTACTAAAACTAAATAATACTAAGCTCAAGAAACTTCTAGTGAATAAAGCAATGGAAACATTTACATTTTGATAACATAAAGCGGAGACTCAACATATGAGCAGCAAACTGGATGTGGTGTGAAAGAGCAGTTAAAGAACCTATATTCCCTCTCCCCATGTTGGTCCCTGAATTTGGGACATATGATGACCGGGGACATGCCCATCCCATGACTGGGGAAGAGCCAATCCAGCTAATGACTGTCCAGGTTTCGTCTTTGTTGACCCAAGTCTTGACTGTTAGCTAAAGGCTGATCAAGGGGTGGAAAAGATGCCTTTTCCATTCTTCTATACCCCTCATTGGTTTGTGTACTTTTTTAAGTGTGGTGTTCTGCCCCACATGTTTGAGACCAACATCAATGCAACTAATGCAACTGTTTTGCAGTTAACTGTTAATGAATTACGTTGCCTGGTTTCTAGGCCTGATTCCAGTCACATTTTTGGGCCGATTTTTTTCCTGTTACTTTAGCCAAAGAAGGGGTGTGCTCTCTGTGGTCACCATAGTTTTATAACATGACAATTTCATAGAAAAGTTGAAGTTGTTTGAAAAAAATAAGCTGGAATGATTCTATCTAAGGCACATTGCTCCTAAGCATAAGGTATTAGTAATACTGATCAACAGCACCTAATAGATGGTCTGGCTCTTTGTACATATAATATATGTAAATCTTAAAGCCAAATCCTATTCTTCTTTCATTAGTCATCTCATTAAATTCATCTGGGCCACTTGCTTAGCTTTGAACTCTGAGAATGCACATGCATTTAAACTCTACCCAGGCTGACCTCGCAGTCTGGGTTAGATCTTTACAGACTACTTTTGCTATCTGACCACCAAGGTGGTCTGCTTCAAGAAATTTTGTACCATTTGAGTGTAACATTATAAAGGTACTCAGCAAAGGTGCTGTAGGTACAACTCTTAAAGTACGTAACTGATTTAGGATCTAATGGACATTTTAAAAAACGGCTTGGGCACTGAAAGCACAGATTTTAAGACTTGAAGATTTGGGTACCTAAAAGAGAATTTCAGAGGGTTTCAGGCAGCAGGGGCAACGCTTGTGGCTGAAAATCTCGCCTCTGCTCAGTGGCTGTCTAGCCTGGGCAGCAGTCAGGAGGTGCTGCCTGATGTGGCTGGGCACTTACTGGAATCTGGAGGACCTCTGCTAGCTGTGGGACTTGGACTATAAAATGCCTCGAGCAGTGTGCTGTATTGCTCACTTTTCGTGATAGTGCTGTTCCTTTCCATCACTTCTGAACTAAAATGTGTACAAAATTACTTTGATGGAAGGTTTTCTTTCAAAAGAGAGCCTGCGCTCCCTTGGTACTCTGTCTACTGGTGGCATGAGCATGACATGCCAGACCTTTTTGCTGTGACCAATATTCCGTATTGTTTTCTATTCCGCTGTAGATAGCCTGAAGGGGACTTGCTGGCTTAACATCCAAGACAGTCGCTGTGAAGTCAACATCAATGGTGCTACACTGAAATCTGAATGCTGTGCTACCTTAGGAGCAGCTTGGGGCAGCCCATGTGAGCGATGTGAATTAGGTATGCTTTCATATCCTGCATCTTTTGGGAGAAGAGAGGAAGTACCGCTAGATAGATTCTCATCACTTTCTGTATAGAAAACAAGCAGACGGACAACACAAAAAACCTATGAAATGAAGTTGTCTTATTTAGCATCACTTGTAATCTCCACAATCAGAGATCATTCTAATACCTTTGAAGTTACCAGGAAATAACATGTGAATAGATCTTTTAATAATTACATACGTTTCGTCTCCACAGGGACTGTGCATTGGAGTAGGGAAGTAAGGACTACAATAATAAAGTGAAATATTTGGTAAAAGCCTTGAGGGCTTTTTATGTTGTGGACTGTTAACACTTTTTCCAGCTGTTTTCAAACACGTAGTTTATGTACAATTATTGATTGCAGAATAGTACTACTATTAGGTTACAGGGCTAGGTGTAGAAGTTGGAAGCAAGAATGCTAACTGCATGCTCTAGTTTGTGGAAAAAATACTGTGCCGCGTTCTATCCATAAGGTTTGAATAATGCTATTTGCAGCTGAACCAGTGTCAGGACGTTTTAGCCTTTCATTTTTAGTTGGAACAATAACTGTGGGCACATGTATCCCATCTAACAAGCATGGTGCAAACAACATCCAGCAGAGCTCTTAACAGTGCAGGGCAGTGTCAAGCAAAGATATTACTTTGGATTCCAGAAAGCAGCATGGTCAGGTTAGACTGGTAAAACAAATCAAAATCTAATCAATCTATAGAGAGCTAATTAGCTCAGACTGGGTACATTTGGCCATTTAATTTCCTATTCTCTAACTAGTTAAATTTCAGCAAGCTTTCCTATCACTACATCATACTACATTTTACATGCATATCCTAAAACAATGTCATTACTCAGATCCTTTATGAAGCTGCAGTGGGAAAAAAGCCTTTAGTGATAACTGGCATCACTAAAGCTTTAAATCTTCAGGCAACTTTACAGGAAATTTACCTTTCAGCTGTATCAGAGCGCAGAGGTTGATACGATCAAATGCTGAGCATTCTGGTCTCCATTAAGGAAAGCACATGAGAAAGTAATTGTCTAAGACTGAATTTCCTCAGCTATTCATGTGTTTTAAGTAACATGTATGAGTCAGTACTTTTCTTGATTGAGGCTAGAGGACTCACCACCTTATACAGTCAAATTATTAGAGAATTCCAAAGATACATTTATTTTTAAATTATTTACTGCTATATTTCTGTCATTCTAAAGCAGTGATATATCTTTCTGGCTTGATTCCAGACACAGCTTGCTCAAGAGGATTTGCCAGAGTGAAGGGTGTAACCTGTGAAGGTGAAGTTTTTGCTTCTTACTCAAGATGTCACTTTTTTTTCCTCTGAAAATGAGATAAAAGGGGATTTATTATGATCTTGTTTTTGTCAGGGCATAATCATATTGACCTTAGATGAATGTCTTCATAAACAGTTACTGACTGTGGGGAAGCATTATGTTACAGTGTTTGTTGGAGAATATCAAAATGATACGAAGAGAATGGAACTGGTCCTTCAAAATACATTTAATCCCTTTAGTTTTTCCTTTCTCTCAGCCATATCCATCATCTTGTCTTAGAGAAGAGAATGTGGCATCTTAGTGCCCAATGACTTGAAGATCTTGCAGGAGTCCCTTGAGACTGAGCTAGATGCTTGTTCAGAGCAGCGTTCAGACTCTAATACAGTATGGACAAAAGCCTCTCGCTTTCTTTCACGTAGCCTAAATTCTCAATAAAGCTGTAGTTGTCTCCTTCGAATTAGCATATAATTCAACTCTTCGTTTCCCCCACAGATGTAAATGAGTGTGCTGTTTTCCCGGGGGTTTGTCCCAACGGGCGGTGCATTAACAGCAGAGGCTCATTTCACTGCGAGTGCCCTGAAGGACTGACGCTGGATGGAACAGGGCGGGTGTGTTTAGGTAAGAGCGCACTCAACTCTGCCAGCTTTTTAGCTGTGTCCAACAATTGTCCAAAATTATTCTCAAAGGGTGTGAACGGATGTTTGGTTTGTTTCTGAATTCCTCCGAAAGCAGTTTGTGAAGCATATGTTTTAGTTTATGCCTGCTTAGATATCCAATGCCTGTGTCAGCTCAGGGAAGAGCTGTTAATCCCTTGGGGGGAATATGAAATGTTTGTGTTAAGACTTGTTTTGCCCACACTGCAATCAATAGGTTTTGCTAGAGTGCTGCCCTTACTCTGACTCCTGTTCACGAACAGAAATGTCTGACTCGCTGGGAGCTAGACGATAAGCAGTCAGCTGGTCAGCCAGCAGCTTGTAATGCAGTATGAGCAGTGCTCTTCTCTACTACTATCTAGTCATTTTGTGAAACTCAGATACTACCTTGTAGGATGAATGCTGGTGCAAATTGGTCTGCCTGAGAGTAATCAAACTGAACGTAGATAAAAATAAGACTTCATCTTTGTTGTACAGATTAGTGTCTTCTACTGACAAAACACGATGTCTGTGAAGACACACATTTCTCTAGGAAAGACTTCAGGTATAAAAAATACTGAACCCCTGTGTAAGGTAAAGAAAAGAGAAGTATCCTGTAGCAAGTGTAGTTAGTGTTAATAATCTGCATCTTTAGAAATCAATGGTCAGAGATGAAAAAAGATAAAGTCAGGGTACTGAATGTTTAGAATAGATTCTGGGATCCATATTAATTTTTCTTACCAGTTCTAAGGACTGTAAAAATACGATTACTGTCAGCATTGATTTCTTTTAAGAAAACAGTGCAGCAAAACAAAAAAGATTTTTCAGCCCTTGCTTCATGTTAAGGATTTTCCTACTCTAACCTTTATTTTTTTATTTCAACAGTGTTCTCTTTCCGCAAGCAGATTCAAATTTAAGCAAACTTCTGATTTAGTTGCACTATGCCTTACCAATAGCTGATACAGACAGTTAGCAGGTTGCAGGGTTTTTTAATGTGAACGTAATTCTAGAGATTTATTAAAACAAGCAGAATTTTGAAATGAAGCAGATGTGTACGATCAGTATAAATGTCTCAGAAAAAAGAAACAATTCAAAACCAAGTCTGCCCGTATGCACGTATCCATTATGTTTGTGCATACCATATGCAGTTTTGTATGTTAGGTTTTACTTGATATTCCACCACCACTCTGAGCCCCCCCAAACTTAGTAATTCTCTTGCCAGTCACTGGCAGCTGTGGCCATCAACCCTGTATTTCTCAATGAGAAATTTGATAAGGACAGGTGTGAATTTAATTGCGGTTGATAGATATAATAAAAAGTTGGAACGAAGAAGCCATTTTCAAGCAAGACACAGGATTCCTTTACCCTCAAAGCCACGTTCCCTTTTCTTATTCTAATGAAAAAATTACCTTTTATATTACAAGATATGTGCCTTCTGCTATGCTACACAAGCACTGTGCACTATGTCATGTATTTCTGAAATACGTTTATTTCCTGCAGGATCCACTACAGTGATTTTAGTGCAAACAAATATTTATTAGCAGTATGTTTGCTGAATCTCTGGAAATTAAAATAAATATGATCCTGATGTGGAATAGTTTACAGGAAACCATGAGTATTCTTTGAACAATTTCCATTTCTTATAGTTGCTTCTAAATTGTTTAACTTCAGATGTGCAGAGGGTAAATTTATATTATAAATCTGCACAACTTTGAAGGGCTTTTATGGAAAACAGTTCAGCAGCTCATCTGTGTTATTTTTAGATCTTGCATCTTCTCCAAAGCTTTTTGCGGTAGTTCTGTTAGGTTTGCTAAAGCCTAACTTCCAGTCCAGTATATCATATGAAACATTAATGCTTATATTTATCCTGAAAATACAGCTTGACCTCCAGTCCATTTCAGTCTGGAGGCTTTAGAATATGTCCAGAAGCTATTTTATCAGACACGGTGTGTCCTTGTGATCTTCCTTACACACTGGAAATAACTCTGTTTTCCTGGAGACCATTAAGCTACCAATAAATTTCTGTATAGTATCACAGACATCTTGTCCTCTGTAATTGATATTGTCCGTTTCCCATTATTGGTATTATTTGCCAGATTTTTGAAATTTGGGCATAGAAACTCTCCTATGTTGTAGAAATTAGCATGTAGAGACTTAACAACCCATTTTTTATACCAGTTTTATGTTTTAACAAATACTAAATTTTTTTTAAAAAACTTCAAACTATTTTTCTTTACTGAAATACAAATAGGTGAAAAGTGTGGAAGGTACTGATGCTTTCAAATGGCTTATTATTGTTATTTTTTACTGTATGTGAGATATAGCAAGGCTGATTTTTTCTGCGTACAAACCAGTGTGGGGTACTTTTCTTGACAGTTGGGTATGCAAGTACGGATTTTGCCTGCACGCTTGGTTGATCTATCTTTTGGTTGACCTGCATTTCTGCAAATGGGACCCTTGAGTATAACCATACTTAATTTTTCTGGAAACTGTATTGTTTTCTCCTGCTAACTGGTGTTAAAGTAAGCCTAACAGCGGTCAGAATTTTTTTTTTTTTATTCCTTGTATTATTAAATTAATTTAATAATATAAACGTAGGTAGGAATATTTTTTTTTCCTACGAATGCAGGTCAATTTGTAAATGAGAATACCTGATACAGTAAAGAAATACATGTCTCTGTCCTATCAAATACACATAGAAACCTAAAAAGCACAGTCATGGTCAGAGTAATCGTATATGTTGATATTGGGAGACAACAAAAGAAATGCTTGTACTTTTTTGTGGTACAACAGAGATCCAGAAACTTAACTATAGTGCAATATTAGCAACTTCAAATGGCTGAACATTGTGCAGAAGTGTAGTCTTGAGCAGAAACTGAGCCTCACATGTACTCATCCCTCAGAAATAGGTGTTTCTGAAAACCAGAAAACTTTAGTAAAGGGTAAAATGTCTATTTGTTGTAAAATGAGCAGATATTCGCATGGAGCAATGCTACCTGAAGTGGGATGAAGATGAGTGCATTCAGTCTGTGCCTGGCAAGTTTCGTATGGATGCCTGCTGCTGTGCTGTGGGGGCTGCCTGGGGCTCTGACTGCGAGGAATGTCCTAAGCCTGGCACCAAGGAATATGAGGCTCTGTGCCCGAGAGGTCCTGGCTTTTCCAACAGGGGAGATATTCTAACTGGCAGGCCATTTTATAAAGGTAAGGGTTCATTCTTGCATCTGAAAATGAATTATAGGTACATCTGTGTGAATATTCTAAGAAAATGACAGGATTTGTGTCTGTGTTTGTTATGGACTTGAGGTGGGAGATGTTGTAAAGATGTTTGCCTGAAAGAGCTGACCTTACAAGTGGGAAACTCTCTGCTTACATGGTGCTCAAGAATGTTACAGGAGCCTAAAAGGAAAAGGTGCAAAATCTGAATTTGGTAAGGAGAAAAGGGAGATTACTACAACAGGACTAAAGGGAGGGGAGTTCTGAATGATAAGAATAACAGAAAATGTGCACCTTTTTTAAGGTAGTGCTTTACAAAGAGTGAACTGAGGGTCAGATGAAGTTCCATAAAGTCAGGGAGTTAAGATGTAAATGTAAAATATTACTAAAATTTGGCCAGGGTTCTCTGAAAGAGAGACTGAAGAAGGATGGGTTCTTTCTATGGTTTGCAGAATTAATAAGTGATTAGAAGGGAAGGGTGTCTGTTGCATCATAATTATGAGGGCAATGATAATGAGGAGCTGCAGTGATAAAGAAGTAAATAAAAGCCTTTCGTCCAGTAAAAACTTCACCTCCTGTAAAACAAAAACAAAACTGAAGAGGCTGGGAAATGTTAAGAAACCAGATACGAGAAACTTTAGGTGACTGAGATCTGAGAAGAAAAACTAAATTTCTGTGTGCAGAAGCTGAGGCGATCCAGAAATGTCTTAGTATTTTATTTGTTTTTAAAAAGATGTATTCTGAAGCATTTGTCTTGGAATACATTGAGTTGCTTGAGGAAACTTTAACAGATCACACCTCTGCTTCACCATAAATAAGCTCTGATTTTCAGGAGTTACTATTCTCAGGCAAAGCTTTGAACGTTCAGTGATGATTTAGTAAACACATGAGGAATTTCATAATAATAATTATATAATTGTTTATTTTTATTA